GGTATTGCCAGGACAGTTTCTCAAAAGATTATATGACAGTGGCAATTCTTCCTCATCCTCAGCACTTCTGAGTATTATTGGATTCAGTGGTTGACTATCCATACATGAGAATAGTATCTTCCTACTACTAGGAAGGTTAGCAGTTTTTTTTTTCCTCAGATCTATTGACTATTTGAATTTAAGAAAAGATATAAAATATCTAGTTTAGTCAGTTTTTCTCTATTATTGTTTGCCTATTTCCTACCAGTTTGCAGGTCTTGCCTATATATTAAGGTCATTAATCTTTTATGTATCATGTTTTGCAAACCCTTTATCCCAATATATTGATTATTTCCTACTCTCTTTATGGAATATTGTGTCTTAAATTCTTTTTGGCCTGCGTGGCCTGTGTCCTCTCCTGTATGGTTTCGTGTTTCCTGCCTTCTTTAATAATGACACCTCCTCCTCAAAACACACACACATAGGACTGAGGTTTTACAAAGAGTTTCCCAAAATTTCCTCTAATATTTGTATTTTATATTCAGATCTTTAATCCATCTGGGTAGGTCTACTTCAGATACGCCTGTCTGAAGAAGACCTGAGACCTGGAAGGTGAGAATGAGCTCGCCAGAAGAAAAGTCAGAGAACAGACATTTCAGAGAAAGACACTAACAATGCAAATACATTGAAGCAGCAGTAGGGAGGGAAGATCTATTCCTCTGCCCTTCTCAGTTCTTCTGGCTAGTCCAAGAGTTACGTTGGCATGAGATGGAATAACAGGAGGAAGTCAAACAGAGTTTAATAACGTATATACACGAGAGAAACCCTGGAAAACTGAGTAATGCCAAAATGGCTGAAGCACCACCTTAAAGATTATCTGAGCTACCCCTGATGGCCTGGTGGTTAAAGTTTGGCGCACTCTGCTTCAGTGGCCCAAGTTCAGTTCCCAGGCACGGAACCACATCACTCATCTATCAGTAGCCATGCTGTGGTGGCAGCGCACATAGAAGAACAAGAAGGATTTACAACTAGAATATACAACTATGTACTGGGGCTTTGGGGAGGAGAAAAAAAAAATGGGAGAGAGGAAGATTGGCAACAGATGTTAGCTCAAGGCAAATCTTTCCCAGCAAAATAAATAAATAAATAAATACCATCCTTGGCTAAAATCAAAGGAGGATGTTGGGGGTAGTTGCTTAGGACTTCAAAAGGGAGGAGGTCAATTTACATGGAAATGGAAAACCAAATGTTTGGTAAACAAATGTTTACAGATCCATCTAGAGACAATGGGACCTGAGAGAGAACTTTGATAAAAATGGGCCTTTCTAAAAAATGAGCCTTGCTAGGTGCCTTCCTGTCTGTCTACCACACCTAGACTTATCTATGATGATCGCTCCTTCCTGGAACAGGCCTTCTATCTTACACATTTTTTGGCAGTTAGGAGGAAGCTCAAAGTTTCTTTCTGAGTCTTTTGTTCTTAAAAATAATCACACCAAAGAAACACATTATGGAGTGGCAAATTCTGTTCCCCACTACAGCAAAGAGTTGGCAAGTAGGAAGAGAGACCAGTAGAGAGATGGAGATGAAGTTGGGAAGGTGGGCAGAGGCCAGAGGCCATGGATGGCCCCTCAGGAGCATGGTGAATAAATTAAGATATGTATTGAATGTGTGGGTGACGTGACTTACAGATATTTTGGATTTGTGGAAATGAAAGAAAGGGAGCAAGGCCCACTCCTAGAACTTTTGCTTGAGTAAATGGATTTCTGGTAGTGTCACGTCCTGACTCGGGAGACCTGGAGGGAATAACAGGCTTAGGGAGCGCCATGTTAACTCCTGTGTCTTGGCAGTATTTGGGTTGAAAGGCTTGTTAGAGTTCCAAGCAAAGGTGTCAAGTAGAAATCTGTATACACACATTTGCATTTCGGGAAAGAGGTCAAGACTGAAGATATAAAATTGGAAGTTTATTGCATATAGATAATCTTCAAAACTGCAGTATTGATGGAATCATCAAGGAGACAGAGTAAAGAACAAGGGCTGGTACCAAGCTCCAAGGTACTAAAATTTAGAGCACATGAGAGTCTGGCCATTTTGAGATAGATCTTTAATGCAAGGACAATTTATTGTCACGTAAACTCAAGCCTTGTATTTTCAGCTCTGGCTATCACCAAATATGCGAAAGAGGGCACATACTTACCTGCCACTGCCCGGCGTCCCTCAGAGTGAGGAACAAGGTAAAAGTTTAAGCTTCAACTGGCAGATAGACAACATATAACAAAAAGTCTGGAACGTAGCACACTTGCTTCTTTCAGAAAGAGCCTCAACTATAAGTGACGTACATAAGTCCCAAGCCCTAAGAGATAGTGGTTCTGTCACCCTGCCCAAACCACAACTCAAACAACCAACTGCAATGTAAGGAAACGCAATAAAGTTCTGGTATTTTTTCAGTCTGACTACACTAATTCCATGCCTGAGAACTCACTTTATTCTGAAGTCTCCATGTCATATTCCAAATTCTGTTGGCATTACGATGATTATAATTACTTAGTCTTTTTTGTGGATTTGTGTATTTATTAATGATACAGTTTTCTAGGTGTAAAACTAGATGATAACTTTCTTTTAGTAGATTTTCTGATGATGCTAACTTAGTTTGGTACAATATTAAGGTACTTGAATAAAATAGAGAAGAATTCTTGGACTACATACGAACCCTTATTCTCACTTTCAGTATGCACTGGGAATTCCCAGTTAAATTCCTAATATCCTCTAATAATATATATGCATTATACTTAGTAATATTTAAATTTATGATTATAACTCAGGATCAAGAGATGAAAAACTCTTAGAAGGTAACCTAATTCTAACTTTAAAATACATATAATCTTACAATTGATTATAAAATTTATCATACTTGCAAAAAAAGACTTCAAATGATGTGTAAAAAAAAAGAAGTGAGGGTATGACGGATGGAGTAAAGGAAAGGATATTGCTGCATAGGTTACTTGGAAATTTAAAAAGGGATTTTATAATTGGTGATACTGTGTCAAACTGATCTGCTTTGTTCAGAAGGCCCCATATAACCAAATAATGATTCCCTCTCAGCCTCACATCTCAGTAAATCCCTGAGATCTACTTTGTCCCTGGTGCCCGGGTGCCTTCAGTAATTGGAAGGCCTGGGTTTATCATTCTCATCAACTTGCCCCAATTTAAATGGTCCTTCCCAGGACTCTTGAGGATGGTAGATAGAGACCTACTCAAGGTCTGGAAACCAACTGAAGCTACTGAGAGTTTATTGCCCACTAGAGAATTTTCCCAAGAAGTAGCTAGGGCTTTTGGATATAAACAGTGACATTTCAAAGTAGAAGGTGAAGAAACATGTTGGAGAGGGGGAGCGAGGAGACAGAGCTGTGAGGAACGTCCTCTGTTTGGGGAACAGACCCTTAGCATTACCTTTTAGGTAAGAGTTGGTCAATTGGCACCTTCTATGTTTTTTTGAAGATCCCCAAATAAGCTGCCAATGCAAACTGAATTTTCAAAAGGGATTTTCTACTGGAAAAAGAAGATGTTACTAGCAGCTTTTTAGTCTGGTGTGTAATTAATGTCTCCTCTGGTAATAAACTGACCCTCTAGAACAAAGTGCTTCCTGATGGCCCAGCCACTGACTCAGTTCAGTATTTACTCAATGCCCACTTATCAAGTGTTTACTGCATGCCAGGGTCTATGCTATTAACAATTTAACAAGACAGAGTCCTTGACCTGAAGGAAGTCTTGCTGAAGATGAAACAAACAAAATTAACACAATGTATCATTCACTACTAAATAACGAAATACAAAGTTTTGCTGGGGCTGGGAGGAGGGTGAAAGAGAATTCAAATTCAAGTCTTCTCTAACTCCTTTCCCCACTCTACAATAAATTAGTTGATCGAGTTCTGTAGCTCTTTATGAAGCCACTTACCCCACTTGTTCTCTTCTTTCACTTGTTATTAAACCAAAAGTGTATTGGCTTTTTTGTGTGCGTGGGTTCAGAGTGCTAACCCATTGTCAACATTTACTTGTCTACCTTTATGTAGATTCCACGGAGATCTCTCCTCCTTCCCTTAAATTCTTCACACAGTTCAGGATGCAATTAGCAACATTCTGGTATGTGGACAAAGTTAACTCATTATGTATTGAGTTCTTACTGGTTTCATTATTCTGACAATAATCCCTTAAGGAGCAGTGGTTATAGAATAGCCAGCGGTTAGAAGTCCTGGCTTCCTGATCTTGGGACTTAGACAAGTTGTTTACCCTCTGTTCCCGTTTCCTCACCTTGAAAATCAGGATCAGGAGAGCATTTACTTCTATGGTAGTTGGGTTAAATGAATTAATATGCTGGAAGCAGGTGCAAAAGTTCATGACACACAGTATGTGCTTAGTAAGTGTTAGCCATTACTCTGGAGTGCCCTGTATTCTAATTTCAGAACCCACACTGCTGAGTCTATTCTTTCATCACAAGGTGAGCAAAGGCATACGGGAAGAAATGGAGGCAGACAGAGGTTAAGCACCTAGCCCAAGGTCACACACTTAGTAAGTGTTGGACATGAGTTCAAAGACAACCTGGAAAACTAATGAAAAGGATCCTAAGGCACGTATAAAGCAATTCTGACCTAAGGATCCAAGTTCTCCAGCGTACAATGAACGCTGAGTTGAAAGAACCTGGTCCTGTCAGCAGACCTGGTCTCAAACACTGTGACGCTGATCCTTCCCCGAGTCTGATGACTCTCAGTCCGGCTGCCCATTAGAATCATTAAAAATTCCTCAGGGGGCCGGTTCCGTGGCCTAGTGGTTAAGTTCGCGCGCTCCGCTGCGGCGGCCCAGGGTTCGGATCCTGGGCGCGGACATGGCACCGCTCGTCAGGCCGCGTTGAGGCGGCGTCCCACATCCCACAGTTAGAGGGACCTGCAACTAAGATATACAACTATGTATAGGGGGGGTTTGGGGAGATAAAGCAGAAAAAAAAAAAAAAGACTGGCAACAGTTGTTAGTCCAGGTGCCAATCTTTAAAAAAAAAAAAAAAAAAACACTCCACAGGAAATTCTAACGTGTGGCCGTCAAGGTGCTTATTCCTTTTTCTGTAGCTTTGCCTTGACCAAACTCCCACTCTAGCCGCTTCTTTCGCTGGTGATTGCAAAGCCCGGAGGGAAGGGGGCGGAGGAGGGAGGAGTGCGGGTGGAGGCTGCCTCAAGACCGCCCGACTGTGAGCGAGGCGTCCGCGGGAACCAGTTTCTGCTTAGATTCTCTCTGCCAGCACACTCCCGAATTTGAATGCTTCAGACGAACGATTCCACACAAAATGCTTCAGTGGAGCTCCTCGAGGAGCGTTTAAATAAGAGGCCGCGTCTCCTTGGACTTCCGGAGTTGCTGCGCGCCAAAGCGTGCGCAAGCCTTGGCCCTCTCAGCGTCCTTACCCACCCAATCCCCCATAAAACACAAACCGAGTCAGCCCGAAGAAAGACTTTGTGAAACTCAATCCTGGAAAAGAGGATTCTAGGGATTTTTGCAAGGTCCCAGATCGCCACTGTTTGGAGTTGGAGCAGCTAAATTACCAGATCCCTGACAGCAATCGTTTTGGGAAGGCCTGCCGCCCTATTCTCTCTCTTTTAGGGCTGCGTTGGGAACTTAGGCGTTAGAGCCTCTTAAGATACAGAATTTAATATTAGTATAAATATAGTACAACACAGTTCGTTGCATCTCAGCCATCTATCTAGGTTAGGCGCATAAAGCAATGTAATTAATTAGCACAAAAATCTGATCAAGACACCATCAATCTACCCTCAGCTTACGGATGACAAAATTGAGTACCAGAGGTTAGAAATTAGCCCCTATCTCATAATTAGTAAGCAGGGTAGGAGCTAAAATTTGAGTTTAGATTCAGTCTGTGTTTTCAACTACCACCTATAAAATAACTCCGGGGAATCAATTTTTCCAAGGCCCCTATCAACGCCCTGGTGAGTTTCAAAAGGTTCTTTGAACATAAACCTGAGCGGGAGTCTAACTCTCTTAGAGGATTTAGGAAATGCGGGCCGCCTGCAGCCTAAAACGAGGCGTTCTAAAATACTCTGGTCAGGGGATAGACAGGGAGGTTACTATCCTGCTTGGGAAGTTTGCCTTCAACAAAGGAGTACTTTGCAAGGCAATCTTAAGTGTAGAGACAGCAATATACAGCTCTGCAGTTACGCAGTAGCCGGATGTGACTGATCACAGCCGGGTTACTGGACTGTCTTAAACGTGTACTTCGTGAGGACACCCGAGTACACATAAACCTATGCCATTAGTGGATTTAGCTTTTTCTGCCAAAAAAAAAGGCAAAAGCCAATTTTTGGTGACACTAAGACGATACTGCAAAGCAGGGCTGTTGCTTTATTATTCTAATTTGGAAAAAAACAGCTTACCTTTGTATATTTCTTTTAATCTAAAGTGATATTAGCTCTTCCTTTGAAATGGTGGGGGGCTCTGAAAAGAGCCTTTGGGTTTCAAAGCGTTTCCGGAAACTCAGATGCCTGTCAATTCACTTGCCCTTAGCCTTGTGGTGACTCTCGGTCTTCTTGGGCAGCAGCACGGCCTGAATATTGGGCAGGACGCCGCCCTGAGCGATGGTCACGCGGCCCAGCAGCTTATTGAGCTCCTCATCGTTGCGGATAGCCAGCTGCAGGTGGCGCGGGATGATGCGCGTCTTCTTGTTGTCGCGGGCCGCGTTGCCCGCCAGCTCCAGGATCTCGGCCGTCAGGTACTCCAGCACCGCCGCCAGGTACACCGGCGCGCCAGCCCCAACCCGCTCGGCGTAGTTGCCTTTGCGGAGAAGGCGATGTACTCGGCCTACGGGGAACTGTAGACCAGCGCGAGAAGAACGAGACTTCGCCTTGGCGCGAGCTTTACCTCCTTGTTTGCCACGACCAGACATCGCAAAACACAAAGCAAACACCAAGAAAACAACACTAGGTACTTGCCAAGATAGATGAAGTAAAGAAGTAGCTAAAACACTGCTGCTTTTATAGGCATTTCCTGGGGAGTACTACGCGTTGTCTGATTGGCTATAACAAGACTCAGCTAAGTAGCCAATAGAAAAACGTTATTTCCATACCTTATTTGCATAGTTCTGCCCATGGATGACAGCTTTGCTGTTTGTCTTCCAATTAACTAAGACGCGCTCTGCATCCCTCATTAGCATAAAAGCCCTATAAGTAGCAGAAATCCGCTTCCTGCTTTCATTTTAGTTTTGGTGTTTGCAGGTTTTAAAATGCCTGAGCCAGCGAAATCAGCTCCTGCCCCGAAGAAGGGCTCCAAGAAGGCGGTGACCAAGGCGCAGAAGAAGGACGGCAAGAAGCGCAAGCGCAGCCGCAAGGAGAGCTACTCCGTTTACGTGTACAAGGTGTTGAAGCAGGTCCACCCCGACACCGGCATCTCGTCCAAAGCCATGGGCATCATGAACTCGTTCGTCAACGACATCTTCGAGCGCATCGCGGGCGAGGCGTCGCGCCTGGCGCATTACAACAAGCGCTCGACCATCACCTCCAGGGAGATCCAGACGGCCGTGCGCCTGCTGCTGCCTGGGGAGCTGGCCAAGCACGCCGTGTCCGAGGGCACAAAGGCTGTCACCAAGTATACTAGCTCCAAGTAAACTTCCCAAGTAAGCGTTTTCACACCTAACCCCAAAGGCTCTTTTAAGAGCCACCCATATGTACACAAAGAGTGCTGTAATCAAACATTTAATTGCATGACGGAGATGACCAAGTATTAACTAGAAAAGGACAGATGTGGAGATTTGTAACTTTTAATCCAAGTAAAGCAATACACAATTTAAATGGTAAGCACTACCAGATTGTAGCTCTGGACGTCGCGTACCAAACATTAGTGTCATCTTTTTTTGCAACTTGGGTTCATCTCGATTCAAACCCACGCGGTTTGTGTTTTTTGTTGTTTTTTTTTTTGTCTCAGTGCTCTGTCTACTGTAACTGGTCTGGTGTGACCTGAGTATGGAAACAAGATCTCCGTAGCTGGCTGATAGTTTGCAATATGCAGCCGGCATTGAAAAACTGCTTGCTTTAGAAGGTGCCTGCTCAAAATTGCTAGGTAATTTGACAAGTCTCCAAGAGGGGCAGAACTGAGAGCTGGTCGTAGGCTCCCAGTATCTAGGCGGGAAGAGAAGAGGGAAGCCATTGAACTTGGCATACCCAAAATCCACCGGAGAACTTGCCCTTACTAGACAACTGCAGGCAGGTTGCCGGCGGGGAAATTCCACCTTCCCTTAAGCATTTTATCATCTTTGCTCCAGGCAAACGTGTTAAGGTGAAAAAGAAGCGCTTCCTCCGTTTATTTCATCCAAGTCTAGATCACATTCTCAGTACTTAGGACTGAACTTTGCTTTCTCCATTAGAAACATGGGAAAGTACATGAAATAAAATTTGTTAGAGAGATTTTTTTACTATTTGGGTAAAATATTTTGTAATTTAGATTACAAGGTTACTTAGCATAAGGATCCTGTGATAAATCTGCAGTTTTCTTTGACACCTGGGAGGAATACCAAGGCCTATCTAGAGCTAGACAGGCCTCCATTTGAACACAGCTCTCATCACTGGCTGCCTGACAGAAGAGTGATCTGACAGATGGTGTAGTCCTGGCCTAATTAAGGGGGAAGTGCAAAGGCAGGACACTGGCAGCTGCTTGTCGCCTAAGCTCCTCAGCCAAACTCTTTATGGTTTCCTGAGTCCTTCAACTGAAATCGGATTTTTTTCTATGCCCCTGAGGAGGCTGTTCAAGGACTGGTGGTCCCATCCAGACTGAGTGCTCCCAATTGCCGACTAGTCAATTTACCCCAAAAATGTGCCAACAGATTCACTGTTTCCTGGCTGACTACAGGTTTTTTCCTTCTCCTCTTTTTCTCATAGAAATTCTGGTTTTGCCTTTGCTGGATGAAGTAATTCTATTGCTTGTTCTCCTGTCAATACAAGAGCAGATTAGTCATTAATTCCTTGACCATTTATTTCTGAAGATACCACCACCAGGATGTTGTTTACCTGAGTCCTACCATAGGAATCAACAGAAATGTATGACCTGAAAATGGACCTTGTCCAGCCCTGGGTACTTTGAGCTTTCTGCTAATCTGCCCTTGGGTCTTGCATGCTACCATTTATTCTTGCCAAGTTGGTTTCTTCTTTTGGTTCTTGTTTTGATTATACTATGTTGATTGGGTGTGCATGAGTGGTTTTAGGATCAGATCATTACGTAATTAGTTAGTGGTAGAGGACACAGAATCTGGGCTCACCTGTTAATCTTTTTTGGGTTGTTTGTGTTTGTCTGGGGATTCTGATATTCTCTGACATTTGGGAACTCAAGATCAGGAAGTAGGTGTTTTTCTTTCCAGCCTTCGATGGGATCTATTGTGTTTGATGTTTTGTGTTTGTATGCTGTGGGTTCCTGTAACTAAAGATCAGAGTCTCTTTCCTCCTTTCAAAACTTTTTTCGTGTTTACTCATTATAAGTCCAAATAGTTGTCAATACCTGCAAAAATAGCGTTCCTGCTTCAAAGATAATATGAATATAAAAGGGTCATGGGTAATAACTTTTGACTTTAATAAAGTGCTAGGCCTAACAGAAGACTTAGGACAAGAAAGAAAGCAAGGAAAGAATCTCCAGCATGCCACGGCCTGTCTCTCACTGTGCCGAAGCCTCCTAAAGCTTATGAGTCAGTAATTCTAAATTATTTGTCCCTTCAGGCTCTTCGCGTAAGGTTAGAGAGGAGAGAGAAGAAATGTGGTGTTATAAATCTGACCATCGAGAGAGAAAAAAAGAGAAGGCTTCCAAAACCACTATAGAACAAGCATTTAATAGTTTCTAAAGCTGAATGTGTTTGTTGTGAGGGATATGGCACTGGAAAGTAGACTTCCCACCAAATTTTAAAGGGTATGAGAGAATTTACTCCTCTTCTTAGCAATGGTGCTCTCTGAGGGATCTCTCACCTTAATTATTACATTTGTTTCTTAATTACATTTCTTTCTTTAACTGATCAACATACTTAGATCTGTGGCTATGTTCTTCCCTACTTTAAACTTTGTTTCAGTTTCACAATAAGTTCCACTAACTTGAACAACAATTGAGAATATTTTCTATTTTGTGAATACAAATAAATTTTAAGCGAATTGTCTACCTCAGCAGGAAATTAATAAATTATAATGTAAACTTAAATTTTAAATGGCTTATATAAAGACAAAAGATATATCCATTTAAAATAAGAGAAACTCAAATCAAAATCAAAATTCTCTTGGTGCTTTAAATGTGCTGCCTGTTTAGATTATAACTTAGAGAAAAAGAGTTTAACTGTGAGTTTAATTAGTGGTCTTAGTTAACAGGTCACAAGATAAGAAACAAAACAGAATTACTCTATTATTTTAAAGAACTTAAAAATTTTAATTCATGGTATGTAATTTCACAGGAAAAAAATCACACATCTCTAATCTAGATAACTTTTTGGACAAATTCACTGGCTTAATAATTTTGTCTTAAAAATGACTTTGTGTCTTTTTCTTTCTAATTGTCATAGTGTAAAAGTAATGTTGGCACGATATTCTAGTTTACACAAGTCTAGAGTTTATCTTCTAAAATAAAATTTAAAAGTTAAAAAAAAGCGCTAATTAATTTGAACTTACTAAATTTCTTTCACTAGTTTTACTGGTTAGATAAGTTAATATCACTTTATTTAAAATTGTACAATTGTAAATTATACATTGAACAAAATTAAATCATGATAGAAAATGCTGTTTTTAAAATAGAGTTAATTTTATAACGTTACAAATTATAAGGACTCAATATGTCAGCTTAAATACTGAATTCACAATCTATAGATAACTAAGAATTTAGATGAATATTAAATTGAGTAAATTAATCTTTGGCTACGTGGAACATTTCTAAATTGGAGGGTACAAAATACACATCACTAAAAACAATTTGATCTACGCAAGTCTCTTATTTTTGCAAAGTTTAGAACGACCCTAGATTGACAGATTAGAGAACATAAAGATGCCTCAGGAGAATGGAAACATCTATGTTATGCTTGTTTTGGCCGCTTTAAATCTGTAAAGGGATATGTAACGTGTACTTCTGAGCCCAGAGAATCAGGCAGATTTTGGATGCTTCACAGTTTTTATGCCTGTGTAGGAACACAATTGCCTGGTCTTTTTATGGACTATTGTTAACACAGACAGCACTGACTCTAAGTACTGGAGCCACAGAGAAACACAAATACGCATACAAGATAATGGCTACATGTAATCTATTTATTAGGAAGTTGCTACTGTTTGTTAATGTAGTAAATTCAATTTAATATGTATTGTCTTATTTATGCTGATAAAGTAAATATACTTTCAAGCTGAAGTTAAAGATTTTGAATTCATCATTATATGAATTTATCATTATATTTATCTATGGTTTATTTCTGTATATCTAAACACATGCACATAAAAGTTTGCTGGGATTGGTTAAAAAACACCACATGGAAGAGAAAAATTCAGAATTCAAATTAAATTTTTAATACATTGTTGTGCCTTTGCCAGGCTTTAAAGCATTTTGACAAAAGTGTTCTCCTCAAAGAACTTGCTGCCATCACTTTATGTCGTGTTTTATATGTGACTCTAAAATAAGACTGTGACAGTTTTCTCATTTTTATGTACCTATGGTTTATGGTCATATCTTCACGTAATAACCAATTTTCTATGACAACTTTATTTTTTACCTATTCTAAATTCAAGCTCTAAACTTAAAATAATAAAACTGTTAAGATGTCTTTTACACCAAAAAACTATCTCTGGGGTTTCCTTGATAGCCATTAGGTAACCAACAATTTTTTCCCATATCTTAAAGAAAGGAGGAATGATAATATAATTAGGTAAATTTAGTATTTTTCAGGTATCAGCTGTAAAATCACTGTTTAGTCTGCTTTTTATAAACTCTTAAATATTGTTCCAACATAAATCCAGCTTCCTGACATCCTTCTCCTTACAGAGGTCAATCCCATGACTTTCTAACATGTTCTCACATTAAACTTGTTTTATTCTGGTTTGTCTAATTTTCCACCCTAATTACAACCTTGACATAATATTATTTGGAGATTAATTGTCTCTGAAGAATAATCCAAGTGTATTTTTTACTGTGATGTTTGAACTATTCTATAATCAGTAACTCAGTCTACTTGATAGCCCAGACAGGAGAGTGTTCCTTTGTTCAAGGCTTGAGAGTTGACATATAACTTAGAGTAGACAGGCCTGGGGATTGTTTGTTACTTTCACTTGAATGCAAACAAAGGAGTTTTCTAACTTATTCAGACAGCTCAATCAATATTGGGGCTAGAGTAGAGGGAGGAGAATTACTCATGACAGACAAACGAACAACCATAGAAAATCTCAATGGTGAAAATTAAAGATAATGCTAAAAAAATACCCCAATTGCAATGTGAAAATAGCACTTAATCATTTCATCACTGTCAATACTATAATGACAATTATCTAGTCTGATTTCTAAATTAGAAAAAATAAAATCAAATACAACCACGCCCTCAATAAAAATTGACTGTCTCAAATCTCTCACACTGCTTGTGTAGCCAGCCATCTCCAGACTTTATAGTCATGTAACAAAAAA